CTGCGTCAGTCCAAGAACGAGCTTCAGCTATTGACGCGCATTCTTGCTACGACAAGTCGACACTGCTTGATGGACTCCTAACACTGCCGAGGTTAACGATGAGCTCAAGAGGTTGGTCGAGGACACCTCGAGGTCGAAAGGGCGCAAATATTTGCCAGTCACATTCCAGGGCAAACGGATGCAGCGCCTCCGCTGATTAAGATCGATTAAGCTATCAGAGTTGAGATTGTTGGCTTCGGCATGGGGAGGAATGCTGAGTTTGTTCGTAATCACGTCAGCGTTGCTTCGGCATGGGATGCGCGAGGAAACTGCAGCGTTGCTCGTAATCACGTCAGTCCGCAAGGTGTGTGTGTGTGTGTTTGTGTGTGTGTGTGTGTTTGTGTGTTGTGCTCCCCTCTCTTGCACGCGGGCCAAGTAGCCATCTGGTTGCCCCGAATTGCCGCACGCTGGAGCGGACTGCCTCTGCCTCGCCGCCGACGGACAAAGTGTGTGATTGTGCTCCCTTGGCAACCACAATTTGGTAAGATAATGTCTGGCGGCTGCAGGCCACGGGGCAGCTCGATCGGCGACGTTTCTTATTTTCAGAATCTCTGCCGTGTCAACAGATGCGACGAGTGCGAAAATGTTTGGGGAGGCGAACGGCGGACCACAACCAGTTCGTCATCTAGTTGGCCGCATGGGGTATACACCAAAGTGGCATTTGGGCATCCCGCGGGATTGAAGACCGATACAGCGGCGCCAACTACACCGTCGAGCACCGTTCACTTCGCCTCACCATCGCTCGTGACTTCTCGGCAGATGACGTGTTTGCCCAAACGGTTTTGCTCGAGCTCTTCTACACCTTGCGGTATCTCTGGTAGTTTCATATTTGGTTCTCAATGCGGAACTTCATTATGCGATCCTGGTGACGAAGTGTATTCTGTACTGTGATTGTGAAGGTACGTGCTTTCTGGTTCAGAGGGCAGGTTGTCGTCGGCCCCCTCGCAGCCGCAGCGACGGCGGCGGCGACGACGGCGGCGACGACGACGGCGAGCCGTGCCCGCGGGTGCGCGCGCTCGAGGAGCCCTCCCGCCGCCGCCGCAGGGCCCACCTCGCTGGAGTTTCGAGGCCATCCTCCGGGGAGTGCCGGAGGGGTGGAGTCGGCCAAGCGTGAGAGACGAGTGATTCGTCGCCAGAGCTCCAGGACTTCTTCGTCGGTGTTTACAGGTTTTCTTGCCTCGGCATGCGTTGCAGCAGCTGCGCCTCGCCGAGAGTGTCCCAGCGGTGCCCGAATCGTCCCGAACGGCCGCCGGAGACCCGAGGTTGGACCCGAAAGCCGAGTGACCCTTCGCCAGGCTCACCTTTGGTGTGCCTCTTGCGGGAGCGCAGGAGTGCCAAGCCCTAGCGTGCGGGCCGCCACTGTCGCATCGCGTGCAGTGATCGGCAAGCCGCGCACCAATGGCCGCACTTGCCTAGGAAAATAGGGGAAAAACCAAATGGTCACTCTTGCCCATGGCCGCTCTATTGCGCGTAGCCGAGATGATCGACGATTATGACAAGGATGAGGAGGGACGAGTTGTTGTTACGCCCTGGGACTTCAGGGACTTGCAGGGACTTCAGAGACTTGCGGGGACTTCGGAGGCCTTCCCGAACATTCGGGGAACTTTGGAGATCTGGGGAGATCTCTGTAGGATGGCGACGAGGACGATGATGATGGTAATGCTGATGTCGATCATGGTGGTGGTGGTGGTGGTGGTGATGGTGGGGGTAGCGATGGAAAGAGCGCTTTCTGCCGCTGCTGGCAGGGTGTGTGTGGGTGGGGGATAAAACCCAACACACACACACATACAAAACCAGGGGAGGAGGGGGGGAGCCTGGACCCCCACCACACCGGGGAAAATAATTCGGGGGGGTCCAGAATCTCTCCCTCCCCCCCGCCCCGGGAAAGGTGTCCGGAGGGGTTCAGAGCCCCCCCCCCCCGTGAGAATCATTCGAGGGGTCCAGAGATCGCCCCCCTGGAAACGACGACGAGGTCGTTGTCGCCAGCAGACGCCAGCAAGCGACGCGGACGACGACGACGACGACGACGACGACGACGACGACGACGACGACGACGACGACGACGACGACGACGACGACGACGACGCACGCCGCACACCGCACGAGGCACGACGCACGACAACACGATTTTCGCGGTGACGTGCCAAGCCTTGGTGCTTTCTTATTCTGCGTGGCACCATGCTGCCTCCCAGAATGTATAAGTGAAACAGTCGGCGGTCCACGCCCCGTTCCTCATGCCTCATGGTTTGGCATCGCTCGGAAGTGTGTTTTCTTTTCGGGCGGGGACCATCGAGAAGCATCCTGGATCACCGAGCAAAACATACACGCATGAAACCGAAACATGTACGGGGAATGGACGTCCGAACGATGGCGAAATGGGCATGGAGTGCCCATGCCCCACGGCCCCATGTCCCATACCCTGTCGGGCATCTCCCAAGCCACATGTGCATGCGGTAACAAATCATGGGAGGCTGGTTTACCCTCTTAATTCCTTCTTTAGCGTCGATCAGCGTCTGGGAGTCGATTAGGTAGCCCCGACTTAGCGTAGATTAGCGTCGACTTAGGGTCAATTGTCGTCGACTAGCGTCGATGAGCGTCGATTCGCACGAGCCGACAAGATGGTATGGGAGGCTCGCACGCCCCATGGGGCATGCCCCGCGATCCACGCCCCGTGGATCAGCCCCACGACCCGTGGTGTTCGTCCCGGGCGGGCGCGCCCCAGAGTTGCCGCTATTTCTTTTGATGGGAGCTGGCCAGTTGCTCATGTTTTTTACCTACCAGCGAAGACTGATAGGTTTCTAGTAGGATCAAAAGAGAGCATCATGACTCCCCAGGGGGGTCTGGGCAGATGCCGGACGGGATCCGGGGACTCCTTTTTTAGCCAACAGTAACGCACTTCGTGGTCTTCGAGTTCCCAGAACTCCATTCCTGGGCATGATTTTGAATGCCCAGAGCCAACTGTAGGCCACTTCGTGTTCTTCGAGTTCCCAGAACTCCATTCCTGGGCATGATTTTGAATGCCTGGAGCCAACTGTAGGCCACTTCGTGGTCTTCGAGTTCCGAGAACTCCATTCCTGGGCATGATTTTGAATGCCCGAAGCCAACTGTAGGCCACTTCGTGTTCTTCGAGTTCCCAGAATTCTATTCTGGGCATGATTTTGAATGCCCGGAGCCAACTGTAGGCCACTTCGTGTTCTTCGAGTTCCCAGAACTCCATTCCCGGGCCACATTTTGAATGCTGAGGGAGGTGGCAGGCTGGGCTGAGGCTGAGGGTGAGGGCTGAGGGTGAGGTTTGAGGTGAGGATGAGCTGAGGCAGGCTGAGGCTGAGGCTGAGGCAGGCTGAGGCTGAGGTGAGGCTGAGGCTGCTGAGGCTGAGGCTGAAGCAGGCTGAGGCTGAGGCCGAGGCTGAAGGCAGACTGAGGCTGAGGCTGAAGCAGGCTGAGGCTGAGGCTGAGGCTGAGGCAGGCTGAGGCCGAGGCTGAGGCAGGCTGAGGCGTAGGCAGGCTGAGGCTGAGGCTGAGGCAGGCTGATACTGAGGCAGGCTGAGGCTGAGGCTGATGCAGGCTGAGTCTGAGGCAGGCTGAGGCCGAGGCTGACGGCAGACTGAGGCTGAGGCTGAAGCAGGCTGAGGCTGAGGCTGAGGCAGGCTGAGGCTGAGGCTGAGGCAGGCTGATACTGAGGCAGGCTGAGGCTGAGGCTGATGCAGGCTGAGGCTGAGGCACGCTGAGGCTGAGGCCGAGGCTGAAGGCAGATTGAGGCTGAGGCTGAAGCAGGCTGATGCTGAGGCAGAAGAGGCTGAGGCTGAGGCTGAGGCAGGCTGATGCTGAGGCAGGCTGAGGCTGAGGCTGAGGCTAATGCAGTCTGAGGCTGAGGCAGCCTGAGGCTGAGGCCGAGGCTGAAGGCAGACTGAGGCTGAGGCTGAAGCAGGCTGAGGCTGAGGCAGGCTGAGGCTGAGGCTGAGGCAGGCTGAGGCTGAGGCAGGCTAAGGCTGAGGCTGAGGCTGAAGCAGGCTGGGGCTGAGGCAGGCGGAGGCTGAGGCCGAGGCTGAAGGCAGACTCATGCTGAGGCTGAAGCAGGCTGAGGCTGAGGCTGAGGCAGACTGATGCTGAGGCTGAGGCAGGCTGATGCTGAGGCAGGCTGAGGCTGAGGCTGAGGCTGATGCAGGCTGAGGCTGAGGCAGGCTGAGGCTGAGGCGAGCTGAAGGCAGATAGATGGCTGAAGCAGGCTGAGGCTGAGGCTGAGGCAGGCTGAGGCTGAGGCTGAGGCAGGCTGAGGCTGAGGCTG